GCAAAACTGCGGCCTTTTTCCTCACAGAAAATATTAAGAGATCAATACACAAGCTGACTACGAATAAATTTTTAAAAATCTATCAAAGACTTGGATTATTTAATATTTAGATGGTCTATTTTAAAAACGCTTTATCTCTTTTTTTTTAACTTAAGATTTTATACATTACTACAGTTCAATAAAAACCATTTTCATCATTTAAGCAGACACCACAGAAAATCTATTAACATTACGAGCCATTCACTGAAATACATACTTAGACAATATCACAGGATCTTCCAGGGAAGTCAATGCAATGCATTCTGGGACACTGTTGGCTGTACCTGGAAGCTGGGACTGACTGACTGAGGCTGGCGTTACCATGACAGCATTTTCTTCATCTATAGTGTTGACCGAGATGTCATTACTAGTAACAGTGTACACTGAGGGGAACGTGGAACTGGTCCTACTGTCGCTTTGGAATGCGTGGTTCTTCCAGGAGTCCACTGGGGACGCTTTTGTGTTTGAAGGACATTTGGGGAAGCCAGATAACTGAGAGGCGATGTTACTTGCTTGCGAAAACGAGTCTAGGTCCGAGTGGCTGGACATACTAGGCTCTAGCACAGAGTCTGGGGAAAAGGCTATTCTGTCATCGAGGGCGCTCAGGAAGGCCTGCGGCGCCATCCCTGGCGTCTGCTGACTGGGCTTCATGTGCAACGTGGGATCGAGAGTCAGTACCTGGAAATAAGACAGACCACAGTGAGGCTTCTCCCTCGGCAGTCAGTGCTGGTTTCTAGGCGAGCAGGCTTTCGCTCTCCTAGGGAAACAAGCTTAAAGGTGAGTCAGTCACGAAGCAGCCCTCACTGTCACTCAGCAGAGCGCTGACCACTTTACCTCGGGTGGGTGATTTGGGCTGGAAGCAGAAGTGAGATTCCTCTCAGGTAACTGTTTGTTTTCCCTTTGTTTTTTATGATAAATATCCTTCAGTGATGGTAGCTTCATCTCATTACTAGTATTAGACTTAAAGATACAAAACAAAATTATTTAAATATTATCAACGATGAAAAAACTTTAGACTGTCAAAAGCTATTATGAGTCTCCTTCAGAATGAAAACATTTTCATATCCCCAATTAATACTAAGGGGATAATCTGAACCTAAGTTAGTAGCAGCGTAAGAATACTTTCAAAGAATAAAAGCCTGGGTAGTCCCCCCACTCCACTCAAAGTAAGAGCCAAGTTTTGAGGTAAGAAAAGACTTCATGATGAACGAATGAAGCAGGACGAGAGCATTCCTTGCCAGACTGATTTCCTGTGACTCAAGGGGACAGCTGCCAAGAGCTGGAATACCTGATCTGTGTAAGTGTATTCATGTGTAAGAGCTGGCAGATGAGAAAAAGTGTTGAGATATAAGTTTCCAATTGAAAATAAGCCCCTTTTTAATTAGTAAAATAAAAAGATATGACACGAATTTCTACAAATCATGGTTTTACTAAACTGAAAATGTTACAAAGAGATCTAAGTTCCCCAAATTAAAACTTTGGGCTTAAATTATTTCAAAGAGGAACCTACTGTGGGGCGTGAGAGAGGTGCCATTTAACCTTTTCAAATTTAAACTGTGGACATTCTCTCAAACGAGATTATAGATTCAATGAGAGATATGCTGAAAGCATTAGAAGAACACATAAGGCAGTAAACTTAGGTCGCATTTCCAGACCCTGGTAGGCTGCAGAGCACCACGAATTAATATTTTGTAATAAACCCTATTAACTAGCTTGTGAATAAGACAATTCATTATATTTTTGTGTATTAAAGGCATTATTTGTTAAATGTAAACCCGTGAAATTTACAATTTCTGCAATCCTGCTTTAAAACTTGATTTTGTATCTACTGACCACCCAGCGGCCCCTTTCACACCCACCGCGTGCTTACGACTCCGCCTGCGGAGTCCCTGCCTGCTGCCTGGGTGAAGAGCTGGAGTTATTCTATTTGGAGTTCTTGGTAGTACAAGGTCCCACTTTTCACCACTTTTATGATTTTTTTTCTTTTCATATTTAACATCTCTGAAATGATGTCCCTTGTGATTAATGACATCTTATAACTACTTTCGGTCAAGTAGCAGTTGTCACATAATTGTCATTGCCTGCTCAGAGGCAAATAGCACAGCCATCAAATATGGCTGAACAGGTGTCAGCAGCCTGGAAAAAAGTCCCAGCAACTACACCGGAACCCCTGAAAACCAGTATTTAAGGCACGGTGAATCAGAATGTTTAGCAACATTCCCCATCTGGGAGTCAAAAGTAGGCCAGTCCTACATAACTACCAAGCCACGTAAAACGCAGCACCAAGGCCTGCCGTCCTTTTAAAAAAAAAAGCCAAGTCACCAGGCTCCACAGCCTGAGGAAAATGGTATGTGGAAAAACACAGAAGCTGACACTGGAATGAAAAAAGAGTGTAAGCCTCTGGGGGTAAAGAAGTTTTAACCAATTTATTCCATGTCTATTTCCCTTTTTAAGTATGTAAAAGAGCTACATGACAAAAATCTATGTTTAATTACAAGCTCTTTCTGTAAGAAAAAGTATCAATTCTAAGTAATAAGAAAGCATTGTAGCAGTCTACTTGGTAGTTATTTTTTCTTGGAAGACTGAAACGGGAAGTCTTAAACTTGGTGGCATATTAGAGTCAACAAAATACCGCATTAACGTCCTGATGCTGCAGACCAAGTACCGCACCAGGGAGCCCTGTCACAAAGCCCACTGAGCGCCCGGCACCCTCCCAATCTCACACCCCCCATCCTTCCTGTCTCTCTGGGGTTCTCTGTCTCTCTGTTGGGCTCCTTCCTGGAGGATGGAATGCTGGCTTCTGCCCCTCACCCTCACTGGGACGCTGATGTTGACAAGGATGCTGTTCCCTGCTGCCCGTCTGGCTGTGCCTCTGACTCTTGTTCACAGCTATCCTGAGTAATTGTATCTCTTTTTCCCAGCCTACTCTCTCATCACCCCATCAAAACACAGAAGGGAGATATGTACATCAATGTACACGTACTGGAGAGTTTCATTTCTTTGCTCTGAAGTAAACACAATATTCACATTCCTTGCTCAGAGAAAATTAATACAGCCGACTAAATTGCTCAGAATTATGGTACAAATGAATCAGCGTGATGGGAGAGTGTAATAGGATGGAAGATCAAAACCAGGTCTTAGGGCAGAACTTTATGTGAGGACCTACTGTTTTAAAACAGTAGGCACAAAACCATCTCATTTAATTTCACAAAACCCTAACTGGGCATTTTAAATTCCATTTTTAAGTAACTTTCTTAAGATCACATAGGCAATGAATGACAGAGACAGAATTGGAAAACAGATGACTATGATTCAAAGCCCATGCTTTTTTCTGTATATCAGAAATTGAAATGAAATAGAGTACTGAACTACAATTCTATAATGCAAACACACACAATGTGTTTTTAAATGACCTGGCTGGGTGACCCATCCGGGGAGGAGCACGATGCCTCAGGCAAAGGGCGATACAGGTCCTTCTCCTCCAGCTTCCAGTAAGTCAGTCCTGAGCACGAGGACAGAAGAGAAAGGAGTGAGGAAAGAGAACCAAAACGCTTTCTAGAGTAACTTATTTCCACAAGAAGACAATTAAATACGAAGTAACTAGTTTGTGGCTATCTGGTTACTGGAAGTGGAATTTGAATGGGAAAAGATTCACATAAATGCCTTACTGCCTAAGATCCTAACTTCATGATCCAAATATTTTAAAAGAAATGTTATGTTACAAATCAAGATAAACTAGTACAATTAAAAAAAAATTTTTAAAGAGAACAATGTCTTTATGAATAGTACAGACTTATATGGAAGCAGCGTAAAGAATTCAATAATTCAAGAATTTATTGAGCATTTACTGTACCGGGGGTGGGGAGTGAGACATGAACAGTAAGTAAATCACACACTATAACAGAGTATGCTAGGCGGTGGTGAGCACTCTGATGGTAAAATTTAAAAATCAGATGAAAAGGAATATGAAGTGTGTGTGGAAGGGACAGCTGGTGCTGTGGCTCGTGGAGAGGGTAACAGGAGTGGGCCACTCTGGCCACATATGAGGGAGTTCCCCATATGGGGGGTGGGGGACGGACACACACACACACCCCACACACACACCCCACCCCCATCCTGAGTACAAGACGCAGCCAATGCCGAGGCCCTAAAAAGAGCACTCGGCTGGGCTGGCGTATCTGAGCCCAGAGCCTCCCTGCTGAAGCAGAGAAAAGGAGAGAGGAGCAGAAAGTATGGCCAAAAAAGCTAGACCTCGCCAGGCCTTGGTAAGGACTCAGTTATTCTAAGGAAGGCGGAACCAAAGTTTTGAGCGGAGGAGTCACATGACCTGACTCATCTTTCAAAGGAGCACGTTAGCTGCTGTGTTGAGCACAGATGGAAGGGTGACACAGGGGGCTGGTTAGGAAGTTGCAGGAGCCCAGGTGACATGATGGGGGCTCTGTCAGGGTGACAGCGTGAAGACAGTTGGAGTCTGGCAATTTTCATAAGGCAGAGCTAACTCATCCTGATGAATTGCATGTATTGTAGGAGTGTGGGAAAAAAAGGAGTCAGTATGTAAAACCATTAAAACTAAAATAAGCTCAGCAGGGAGAGTTAAGAATGGCTCACAGAGGGTTTGCACTTCTTAATAAATTTTGCAGCACCTGAAAAATGCTGAGATGATTTTTGCAGCTGTCTGAAATAACTGCAAAAGTACTGTTTTCTATCTTTGGAGTATTTGGAACACAAATTAAGGCAAGTAAGGAAGTTATGGCTACCAGGGGCACAACACACAGTACACTCACAGAAACCACTCGAAGATACTGTACATAATTATCATCCAATGAGAAATGCATAGTTGTTATTTGAAAAAAACAAAAACAAAAAACACAACTCTTTAAAAATATAAGTACCATACCTGTTCCTGAATCAGACATCCAAGAATTTGGACTTTCATCGGGTTTGCTGAGGTAAAATGCACGCGAGTGTGTAGCAGCAGTGAAATCAGACTACAATTCAAGACAGAAAACTATGAGTTGACAACTCAAAATTCTCGGCACAAATGGCTGACCCAAGGAATGACACAGCCAGGTGCCAAACCTGGGCTCAGGGAGGCTTTCGGAGGCTTTCGGAAGGTTCACGAAGAAAGAAGCCTGGGGCCAGCGAGTGGCGCGATGGTTAAGAACTGGCTTGGGACGCCAGAGGTCCCCGGTTCGGATCCCACATATGAGGGCCAGTGACACTGCCCTCCACAGCTAAGATGCTAAACAACAGCTCAACCTGGAGCTGGGCTGCCCTGAGTCGCCGGTGATGGCGTGGGCTGCAGCCCCTGTGGCAGTGGGTTGCCATGGGCTACCGTGTGTAGCCAGCAGCCAGCGTGAGCGGCCAGCAGCCGCAATGAGCGGCCGTCCAGAAGCTGGCGACTGATCTGCCTCGCCCGGGAAGAGCGCAATGATGGTGCCAACTTGGGCCAGTGAAGCAACGTCCTCCACAACTAGGCTGAAGAACAAAACGACAGCAACTTGTCTGTTCCCCTTCCCCCAATTCCCCAATAAAAAATCTTTTAAAAAAAAAAGGAAGCCTGGCTGTCCGTGTGGTTACAAGGATGCAAAACCACGGGAATTAACAGTGAAGGTGTTTCTTTTCCTATGTGATTTACAGAGTTGATTTGGGTTTTCTGTGGAGCTGGAAGGAGGAAACTGGGAGCAGGTGTTATTTAATGAGTTCAGAAGGAAAATGTATTTATAATTGGCCATCTACTTCCAAAAGAAATTTGAGGCACGTAGGATGAAAGCCATTTAGTATAAAAATTAATACAAGAGCCAGAACAATTTATTTTTACTATTAAAACTATAATAAATCAAATCAACTCTGAAAACCACAAACAACTAATATCAAATTTAAGCAGAAGACTACGTCTTACATACCGATTGGTTACTGGATCCAGAAAAGACTCAAAATGCATATTTATCCATTCTAATAAAAATTCTAAGCTAATCTCTCCTTATAATGTCTCTGGCATTGTCACAGAAATCTGTGCTTCCAAACAGAAATACATGAAAAGACTATTTGAACCGGAGTTTTTCTGAGTTCTACCATCATCAAACTTTTCCTCCCTGTGAAATCGCTTTGGCTGATATTTGCCTACAATCATCCCTGGACCTACCGCACAAGGAAAAGCCCCCTGAAACGATGATGCTTTACCTACCAACGAGGGACCATCACCTCAGCCTTCCAAAGCATCCCTTTGCCTCTTCCTCATCAAATGAGAAATTCCCAGGTCATCGTGTGGCTCTTCTAAAACGCTGACCTGTTCAAATTTCTGTCAAGTCTCAATACTTAAAAGACTAGGAAAAAATGGTTGGCAAAGTCTAAGTGAACAACCCCAAGTGAAAAACTGTCCTCTCCCCGATTCTGAGGTGCAAACTGTGATGCACTCAGCCGACACCCACAACAGTGGGCTGGAGGGGGGGGGCTTGCGTAACCTACATGGCAGCCTGCTGCGCTCCTCTGATGGCAAACAAGGCATCAGGTGAAGCAAACAGGTTCAGCTTTTAATGAGAAATGAAAGTATGATGCAATGGGAAGCGCTTCCCAGAATCTGGCTAAGGCCGGCATAAGGCCCCGGTAGGGTAAGTCTCTCGGCCCATCTGAAAAAGCACCGTGGAGTCCTGCAGCCTGGGAAATGCTACATTGATTATGTCCCAGGCAGAGGACCAAGGAAGCAAAGACGGACTTGAGCTCTGGACAATCCTTATGTTAACCAATACCCAACTTCAAGACATGCCTCGAAATAGCCAGTACCCAAAATAAACTACCATGTATTAAAAAAAATTGGATCCCAAGAGAATTCTGATCGAAAAGATCCCCTGATTTAGACTGAACATGGAATAAAACAATGGGAAAAGAGAAAGAATGGGAGAGGAAAGTTCCAACTTCTGTGAATCCACAGAATTTGACTCCGAATTATGCAGGTTTAGTGTCTTTGATTCGCCAACCACCATTACCTGAAAATCATTTAAAGCTCAGAAATATCAAAAGCAACTTAATTTCCCCTAATGATTTCTTGCCAAAAATATCACTCACCTTGAAAAAAAAAAGGAAAACGAAAACTTGTCCAGGAGATGATCAAAGCAAAGGAAAAACGCAACAGGTGCCCGCCCGCCCGCCTGGCTTCTGCTCTCCACCTACTGACGTCACCAGAGGCCGACCATCCCAGGCAGACCCTCCCCCAGCACTTCTCAGCTGTGCGTCAGATCTTTCGGCTGCTGGTCCGGTTCTCTGCCACTGAACGCAGGAGGAAGATTAGGCTGCACCAGGGGTTCCCAAGCTTTCCAGCCCCCGAGAATCACCTGAGCTTTTCAACCTCCCTATACAGAGGTCATAGTGGCACCCGTGAGGGCGGGCCATCCGGGGGTGTAAGCAGGTTTTCTAAGCTCCTCGGGTGTCTCAATGTGCAGCCAAGTTTGGGAACCACCAGGCTACGTCGAACAAATATTGAGCTGCAGTCACAAAAGACAACAAGAGTCAACCAGTGACTCCACCGCGTTAGGACCACAAACCCAAAGTTTATCAGAAGCAGTGAAGTCTCCATAAGACCGAGTTTCGATTAAGGTAAAAATAGCAGAAAAGAAACGAGTATGTATGAAAACATTCCCCCTTTCTGCCAACCTATTCCGATGAAGAAGCACCTTTCAGGCCGGCCGAGTGGCTCAGTTGGTTAAGAGCTCGCGCAAGAGTGCGAGCTCTGAGCAACAGCAGTTCGATTCCCAGCCCGAGCTGAGTAGCCGCTGAGCTGCCAACAGGTGGCAGGATGGCTCAGCTAAAATTTAAAAAAAAAAAAAAGCACCTTTCACCGCAGGTGCGTTTATGCTCTCACACCAAACAAGAATCTACCACCCTGACGGCTCACAAGTGCACAAGAACAGACCTGGCCACGCAGCACCGCGCGTTCACAAGCTTTCCACCTTTACTTCCCTCCTCAAAAACAAAACTGGGGAGGGTCCAAGAATGGTGACATTAGGGGGCCGAAGTGTCACAGGTGGAAGAAAGACAATTTACTGAAAGAAGACAGAAATAAATAGTGCCTTATGAAGGCTGAGGGACTGTCTTCTTCTGAATTCTACTCTTTAATATTTTTCATAGGATGATGAAAAGGCTACGTGTAAGATAATCAAGACATGGCCAATTTCTAAAGGTATCAAGTTTATAAAGAAACCTGAATTTGCAATTTCAATGTATTATGCTAAACAATGTTATTCCATGATAACTTAGGTCAAAAGGGCTTTAAAGATGTTAAAAACTTACTCAACATCTATAACTCTTTCAAGAAAGCAGCTGCTATATTAGCAAAAGGACTACAGAGAATTTAAAAATTTAATCTTTTACAATTGGGATTATAAATTCAGAGTTGTCCAAATGTCAACATTTTTATATAAAGGCATCTTAAGGCATTCACACATATACTACTACTTGTTACAACTGAATAGTAATACAAATAGAGGGTTTTAAAAAACAATTAAATGAATGACTTTCTGATTAAATGTGAGCATTTGCAGTACAAAAAGAATTAGAGCCCTTTACAAAATGGTTCACTTTTTATAGCATTTTATCCCTCTTTAGTTCTGATTTCCAGCCTACTAAAAACCAGTACTTCAAGCAAATCACTGTTTCCGATCCTTTGTGACACCCAAAGGAAGATAATGGAGCAAATTAACAATACAGAAGAAAAGGCCACTTAGGTGGGTGACCATGCTATAAACCCAACATAATTATCGGTAGCTGACGCATGCGGAGTAAAGCGACTTGCACCTACTTTCTCCACTGGCGATTTCTGGGTTTGTTCATTTCCTTGCATAGACTTTGGACATCCTTCCTCTGCATGCGCTCTCTTTGGCTGGTTCTGCTTCAGCTTTTGTGCCCATGATGTTACAGCTTTACTGCTTAAAAAGAGAAAACCAAAATTATTCTCTTTAGATGCTGCCCTTCACACATACTCATAAAACTAAACACTAGTAGATGATACCTGTCAGTGGAAAGTGCTTCAAGTTGTTTTCCAATAGCAGACGGGATGGATTTTTATTGATTCACCTAAATTTCCTTTTGCAAAGTCTCAGTACCAAAGGCCAAGTGAGGAAAGACTAAGGGTGACTAGCAGTACGGACGTCTGTGGCCGTGGACCAGAACAAACCCCCAGGGACCTCTTCTAGAACTACGTGTATCTCCACAGTGAAAGCATGCTTATTTACAGGAACTAACAATTATACCTGTGGGCACACAAGATTTTTGTTGCTATAGTTACATAATTTAAGTCAAAATTATTTAACTATCATTTTGATGACACATTTCAGAGATACAAAACTGATAAGTTAGGGTAAACTATGCAATTTTAAAGGATAATCTGCTTTACACTCAGCCACAGTTTCCTTTAACTAAAGGTCCATGGATCAATCAAAATGTCATTAAAGTGACGAAATCTCTTTTTATATACAAACCATTAATTTGAGCATATTTGTGTCTTAGTTTCAAATTACATAAACATGTGTGCCAAAATTCCACTGCTGACACAGTCCTATAATCTTTAGCAAGTAATTACAGTGACTAGAAAACACAGAAGGTATTTCTTTTTCTGGGCTTAAGAATTGAGTAGTCTTATAACATTGCTAATGGGAAAAAAGTCAGATGCCATTAGTACATAATGTGTTTTGTTTATTTCAGTTTCCACAGACAGTAAATAAAAGACTTTGGGAAAACTAATAAATGTTCAGTGCATCTCATTCTGTGATAGTCCAACTAAACGGAGCTTTATTTGCTAGAGTTGAAGTGGAATAAACAAGTAAAACGCCCTTCAAATGATGGCAAAATTCTACTTACCTATTTGTTTTTCCACTGTATACTTCCGAAATCTTATTTTCACCAAAAAAATTGTGCTCAAAATCACCATGAAAAATGGAAATATCTTCCTTTAAAGAGGCACAGAAATCTTCAGGAGGATGCATGTAGAAACTCTTGCTTTTTACGCCATCTGTAAGCGACCCTGTCTGCACCGCCGGGGCCCCATACTGTCCTTGCGAAACCTCTGTGTGCTCCATGAATTCTTGAGGATCCTTCGATTTATAGGCATTTAATTCGGAGACGCAAAAGGTGCCATACCCACTGCTCACGGAGCTACTATCCACATTGCAGTCTGGTTGTGATGTGGCTGTTTCTTGTTGCATTTCAGGATCGTCAGACTTAGGGTAACTGATAACAGATTCATTTCTCTCACTGTTTTCAGAAAAAAAACCCATTTGCCTTTCTAAAGGTATCTGTTTGCTTACAGAACTTCTATCATAGGAAGTCCAGGAAGCATTACTGGTCTGTAACTTGACTAAATTTTTTATCTCCTCCTGTATACGCTGAAAATAAAAAGTTACACATTTGGGTAAGAAAGCATATTAAACATCACCGTTTAATCATGTTATGAAAATATTGTGTTTAAACTATGATGAAATATTACTCTAGAGGTAATACATATGCTTTATCTTTAGAAACAAAATTGATACAAAGTATCGACTGGTTCCTCTGCAAATCTTACAATATAAAAAAGGAATCAATACAAGTAACAACTTACTTGAATTTGGTTGTGGAACTGTTCCTGCTGGGCGACTATCTGCTCCTGGCACTGCTTTTCCACCAAATTGAATAGTTGTAACCACCTGGCCTATTGAATTATACAATATTTCAGTTAAAAATAATTTTTAACCTAATATTTCACAGAAAAATTCCTCCAAAGGGAAAGGGCCTTTTTTTTAATGTACTTCTAATGTAAAATTTATAAGCCGAATTAAATGGCTATAAAACAATATTTAATGCAAAAACACAAGGACACAGTCTTGGGTACCCCTTTCTTATGTCACCTGTGGTCTGGGTGAATTTTGAAGGTCTGGATAAATCTTATTTTTCAATTGGCATCTTAATTTGATGTCATCTGCTGTTGCTTCGCATTAGTCAAGAACTGGTAGTGGCACTTTATACCTATCTCCTCATAACAGCTAATGATTTTCTTAAACACTGACGTTCCCCCAAAAAGAACCCCACATCTTAAAACACGAAATCGTTTTGTATTATGAAAATGTAACCCCTCCTTTATTTGTTCTTAAAGCGAAAAGCCCCTTTTAAAGTCAGACCCTAAGATGTTTTAAAGCACTCCAGCTGGAAAAGGAATGGACAAATGACTCTGGAAGCCTCTGGAACTGGCCTAAGACTCCCCTCACAGCCACTCTTAGGTCCTCATCCACCCTGACCCTCCAGAGTAGTCAGCAGTCTGATAACTAGACTAAGCCCAAGCATGGCAGGAATGGGGCATGGAGTTCTCCAGGGGCTAACTTCATTCTCAAGGCTGGCGTGCTTTCAGAATAGGCTATAGCCAATGTATACAATGTCAACAAGTAGCCACCATGAAAACTAGCTTCCGTTTCAAACCTTTCAACGTCTTGCCACCCACCATTCCTTACAGGGCCCAGCACGACCTGGCTTATAGACGCCTCCCAACAGCGCGTCCCTCTCTGGCTACCCTCTCATCATCCGTCTCATCCTGCGAGTTTCTACTTGCTGTGCCCTCTACCTGGAAAGCTCTCTCCTCAGCTCTTAACATGGTTGGCTTCTTCCCATCCTGCAATTTCAGCTTCATTGTCACCTTCTCAAAGAGTTTCCCAAACCATCCTAACCATTACATTACTCTTTCTTGTCATCCTGTTTATTTCCTTCATAGCATTTACCACAGTCTGAAAGCATCTCATTTGTTTACTTCGTTAATTTATCGGTCTCCCATCCTTGCCCCCACGCTATCTCCAGCACCTAAGGCACAATGCCAAGGAAAGAGTAGGCACTTGGGTATATAGTCAAAATGAGTGTGTAAAACTGTATTTTCTAGTTGAACTTTTCTTGGTACTACAGACTACACAATCCAGAGGTCCTTCAGGTTAATGCTGAAAGCCAATTACGTAACCATACTATAACAATTAGGCTGAAACCTGTATAACAGTATTAAGGTGAGATGTGGGGGGAGGAGAACCCTCAGGATTGGAAAAGGAAACCTTCAAAATGAAATATGACAGTACTGACAGGAAGCATTAATTCTAAATCAACTAACTTCAGGACAAGGTAGGCTAGATCAAATTAGGCTCCTTATCTTCTCAACTTCCCTATAATACAAAGTATCTCATAGTAATTCAAATGAAAAAGAAATAATCAGGCAATGGTTCTCTTACTAAGTGTTACTAAACTTAAGCAACACATTAGGGGTTATTTTTAACCTGTTAAAGTTACCAGTCACATAAACTAAATTACAATAATGATAGAATAACAATTTACATAACAAAAATGGCTTCCTATGATGTGAGACACAAGATATTAATCATATCTTTGTTATCATTTTCTTATCTAGGATACAGATAAATAGCGTTTACTCAGGACATAAATTAGTGGAAAAGATTTTGTTCTTTCTAGTCATATTTTATACTTAATATTTTAATTTTAAATAAACTCACTTAACATTATAAACTTAGTGAATAACATTATTCGCTTAATTATTAAGAAGGGCTATTATTCATTTCAAACTAAAATAATTAATACCACCTGCATTTTACATACTATTGGAGAAAAGGGCATCTAATTAAGCTTTTGGGTGCTAATGACCTGAGGGGATCCCCACAGTCTGGCCTGGTAAATATCAAATGGGCTCTGACCTCCTAAGGCTGGCCCCCACTCTCCACTAGCAAACGGCCTCCATGGTCCTGAACAAGTAAATTTCATTTCTTTGTGCCTCAGTTTCCTAATATATCAAATGGGAATAACAGCTCAAAGATGGCTGGGAGGATCAGGTTTTAAATTTCAATATGATGCATGCAAAGCAGCAATCTCAATGGGAAAACTATATTGTGAAAATCTGTGAGGTGATGGTTGTCACAAAGATAGGCGAGCACCTCTAGCATCTGGCAGGCAGGGCCTGGGATGCGAATCACAGGACCCCAACAATGAAGAATTGTCCTGTGTCCATTTTCTATTATAAAAATAATATGTATTTTGCACAGTTTTCAAATCACCAAAGTGTCCTGGAATGCAACTACCAGGATCTTAAGTGTGTCTCAGAACTTTATCAGAAATTGGTCACGGTTTCAGAAAATCATGTCACCAACTGCAGTGCTCGGTCACCAATATACCTCGGCTGTCTCAGCCTGTGTTTGTCAAGGCTGCATTCAGGGCGAGTCTACACAGATGTAGGCAGCAGACTACTTTCTGATGGAGGTGTGCCTGAATACCTATCCACTAATACACATATTATCCTATTTAAATCACTTTTATTCCTCCTCTGTATCACAGTTAAGACACTACATTGATTTTTTTTTTTTTAAGTAGGTGCAAGCAGGTTGAATTTGCTGTGAGTTTCACTTTAGGATGTTTCATTGACGTTATTTTTTAAATTGTTATAAAAAGAAGGCTTTGGGTCTAACAAGATTGAAATCCACTGACAAAAGGTGCTTATACTGCCCAGCAAATAGACACTCAATAAATAACAAATATTATAATAAGTATCATATAATAATTACTATTATATATATAAGCAGTAGTGCTAAATAGTTTAAATGTTCAAATAATTAAAACAAATTAATGATGTGCTTTAAAATTTCTTACATTCCAAGTTCCATATATGTGAAACTGGAAAAAGAAAGTCTTACAATGACAGAAATATTAGCAAGTATTTAAGAATGTATTAAAGTATTTCTATGTAAATGTGTTAAAAGAGTCTTTCCTGACTGAATCAAAGTACATCATCTTCCCAAGTTTAGGCAGTGATAAATTTAGGAACTTCCAGGAGAGAGGTTTTAACAGAAAGAAATAAAGAAGCCAGTTCAAACATTTATAAAGGAATTCTAAAGACATCAGATCATCTGCAGAACTCTTCCCTGTTCAAATTGTGGAAAGTTTCATGTTCTGATTAAACACTATAGATTTGCCCCTTACACAGGGTAGAAAAGCAGACAAATGTTACTATTGTCAAAGGAAGGTGAAAACATGACATTCAGGGAAAAGAGTCAGGAATTAAGACTTGCACAATTCTTACCTCTCCCATTCTTTCTAAAATGTTACACTAAAACATCAGAGGCGTTTGTTCTTGTAGCCTACAAAAATACTATTGAAACACACTATACAACTTTGAGAAATTTGACTGAAATGACCAGAAGGATATTTCATATTCTGTCAAAGTAAGAAATAGCTTAAGAAACTCTTCACTGAATTATCAATTACATGTCTTCATTACAAAAATTTAGTCAGTCATTACTAAACATAATAAATATGCTAGTCTGTTATATTACAGGTGAAGAAAAAAGGCAGAAAGAAACAAACCGGTTCAGATGTTAAAAGGTGTTGAGTAGCTGGTTGGTATCCTGGCTTATAAAAATCTGTACCTTAAATTCACAACTATATTCTGGATGTCATTTAAGATGTTGATTTCAAAGTATTAAAAGCAACCATTGCTAATTAAACATGAATTTGCTAGAAGTCAAACTACATTGAGGCAGTACCTCATTGGTTAAAAAACACATTAATTCAGGTGTTATAAGCTAATGAATAAGTACATTAAAGAAAACATTTCATGAATCATTCCATTTTTGGCTGCATTATTTTACAATGGCATTTTATAGGTCTTCTGCATTAGCACACACCAATTGTTATATGGAAAAACGTAAAATGCACACAAACTTAGAACTCTTAATTTTTTTAAATTTTGCAATAATACTCAGTCATTTTTATAACTTCAATGATTGAGAATATGAATATAAGTAATTACACTTAGGGTAGCTGCTGCTGGATTCTTAAACTAGCTAATCTTTTATTACATTTATTGTACATTCTGAAAAAATAACACAAATTACAATTTTAAAAGTATGATTAACATTTAAAACAAAATCTACTACGCTCTAAATAAAGAATTTAATAATAATGTTTTATACACTTCTATTAAGCATTACCAAATCTAGCCTTGGAAAAGTCTATGTTGGGTATTATTCTATGAAGCAAAATTTACATATAAAAGTATTCTTTTAAAGTTTCTATATCACAATTTAACCTATGGAGCAAAGAAAGAACCACTGACCTGAAAAATGAATGTAACTCAATGTATCACAGCGAAATATGATAAGGCACTAATTAGAAGCCTTAATTTATAATTAGAGCATTCAAAAGATTTCAAAATGGACTTAAGCTTTTCAAAACAATGACAATTCTGTATGAGTTACTTAAAACATTAGGATCAATAGAAATATTAATAATTTTGGATTTCTCTGAACACAATAGAAATATTAATAATTTTGGATTTCTCTGAACACAGACGTTTTAGTTCACATTTAAAATATACCTTAGTATGTCTAATCACTAATATATTGCTAAAACACATTTCCGATCATCTTTTTCACATTCATTCAATATCATTCCCCATTAATATACTCGATAGCTTTACTTGAGCCATAACTTAAGTAAGTATCGCACTCTTCAGAATATAAATTTCTAATAATTTAAAAGTCAGTAGAGGCACATTTATAATTATTTTTAAAATTCCAAAAATTAAACAAAACTAGATACCTCACAGTTTTTCCAAAGTTCCGAATCAGTCTTTCCACTGTTTTGCAGCTCTTGCATTAAAGAGGTGAGGATTTCGACTGTACCTTGAATTACAGATGGTCTGGTCTTCCCTGAGAAAGAGGATACCCCATTTGTACTAAGGTGGGGACGGCTTCTGTTGAAACATAAATAATTCAAATGGTTTTCTTCATTCTGCCAAAGTGTTGAATAATTCAGCAGTTCAAGATTTAGCAGAGCACTACAAAACCACTGATATTTAATCCTTCTTAATGGCACCTCATTTGTTGAAAATCTGATCACGTTTGTCCACCAAAGAAAAACAGCAATCAACAGACAGACAGCACTTAATTTTTTAAAGAACACAACAGAAAGCCCTTTTTCAGAAGTGAGAACACTCCAAAGTACCAGCAGGAAAGAAAAGTTTCTGCTAAACAATAATAAGAAACATTTCCAGCTTCTCTGATCTACATTTTTCCAGAGGATTATTTCACCCTACTTTACGAACAGCCCTTTATTGTAATGGAGATGCTTTCTCCGCTGCCCCGTATTACAGCTCATCTTGTTAATTGGATCCCTCTAATTTGGTGTGATAAGCTGATGCTTATCTTTGCACCATCTTTGAATAAAAGCTGTGCCAAGCAAATTAGCAGCAAATATTCAGGATGTGTTTAGTTAGTCCATTCAGTGTGTAAAACAGATTGATTCTTTCCAGGAGGACTGCCTTTCCAAACTGGAGAGGAGTTTATTTCAGATCTGGTTTATAAAAACACAAAGCATAATTAAGGACATTAAAATTTATTTAAATTCCTATCACTAAAAGGCCATTTTCATTTATTTATTGATACTCTACTTTGCTTCACAAAGAATTTGTAAAAAAAAAAAAAAGGACACTAATGAAAAATAACAAAATAATGAAACGTTAGGATCAGAGAAAATATCAATAAAAATTAAGGCAAAGAAGGACATAACATGTTGTCTATAAGGGGCTTATAGCAATCAAGTTTAAATTTGGCCAACTGAGCTGCCAGTCACAATGAAAAGAGAGTCACACAATTTTCATTAGAAAGGCACATTTAGGTTCCTCCCAAGAAATCGAACACCAAAAGGGATTTGTTCTTGAAATGGGCTTCAAAGCGGCCACCAAGTGATACAGGAAACAAAATGCATGGCCAACTTTCAGCAAGTGGGTATAGATTACCATGGCAGATATTTATTTCTTCTGGACCATTTCCCATGCTTTTCTTCCCCACTTGTACCCTACTTTAATTTACGCTTTCTCCTTTTATATATTCTTAGAAGCTGCCTTAAATTCCTCCCGAGGAGGGCAAAGAATGAACAAATGTTTTAAGGAATGTATTTGTTTGTTTGTCTATGATACACAATTTCTTCAAGGCCTACTGTGTGTAAAGGTATCTGGCCCTTTACCAGGCCTCAGACTGCTGTGTTTTCACTTTATTGTAGTTGATCTCTCTAATGGTCCCTGCCTCTTTGCTGTTTTTAGGCGATTATAAATGCAGAAACCACTTAATCAAGTTTGTCAGACGATGTACAAAATGAGAGTAAACAGGATGTGCTTAAAAACAAACCAAACGTGGGAAAGTTTAAAAAGAAAATGCATTGTTTGACAGCATCTCCAGAGGGAAGTTTCAGAAAGTTAAAAAACTGTATTAAAATTGTAATACTCAATATATACTGATAACAAAAGATAAATACAAGTCACGTGTATACATTATTTTGGCACACCCGGTATTTTATCAACTGCGAGCCTGGTTTCTTTTTATTTATTTATTTTGCTTACTTCCTGGTATTCAACTTTAATTGTAACTTTCCTGACTGGTGAGGTAATTCTGCAATATTAACATTATTTGTCCTGGAACAACATTCAGGCAACTAAATTTTAATGATGGGCTTGTAATTTACCAAAAACAAAAAAAGTATAAATAAAGCTATAACTAGCAAAACCAGTTCTTTTTCACAATGTCCCCCACGCAAAAGTACACCTCTCTGGGAGAAATGAAAACCATAGAAGGGCTAAAACTATTCTTAAATGTCCCTGAACAGTTCCTGATCATAGTTTGTTTTTTTCTTTTTTTTAAATGCAATTTAGTAACTATAACACTATTTGGATAAACTTAGTAATGTATGCAAATAAATTTACTTTGTCATCACATTTTTAAAAATCTATCTATCCCAATTCTTACCTATTAGTATTTAAGCTCAGTCCAACAGAATGAGAATTTTTTACATCAGACTCTACAGAAGTTTTTTGTAAGGGTTTCACCAAGTCAAAATCTTCCATATTGTACAGAAATTGTTATGCTCGCTTATTTGAAAATGTAGATTTTTTCACTATTTGAAGAAATTGAATCCGAGTCATCTTCAGATGCTTCATCGTCTACAGGCATTTTCAGTTGCTAACATTCAGAATTGTGAAATATCCTAAGCTCCCAAGAGTCTGAAAATGAATGGGAAAAAAAAAATACTACTATAAAAAGCCACTAAACCTAGCAACTGTCTTTTCATGACTTTGGAAACCTTGATGCTTTTATACAAACCTACATTAAGGAGAGAGACATTCACAATGGTAAAAATGCAGAAACCACCCAAATGTACATCAACTGATGAATAGATAAACAAATGTGGTGGGTCCGCATAATGGACTCGTTTTCATAAAAATGGAATGAAGTAGTGATACATGCTACAATGTGGATGAGCACTCAAAACATTATGCTAAGAAAAGAAGCTCAGTAAAAGAGCACATAGTGTCTGATTCCATTTACACAAAATTCCTACAAGTCAAATCTACAGAGACAAAAAGCAGATTAATGGTTGCCAGGAGCTAGGGGAAAGAGAGAATGGGAGTGACCAAAATGGGTATGGGGTGTCTCTTTGGGGTGATGAAAAGTTCTGGAATTAGTGGTGATGGTTGTACAACTCTGTGACTATACTAAAAACCAATGGATTGTACATTTTTAAAGGATGAATTTTATGGTATGTGAATTATATCTCAATAAAAAAATCTACAATAAGGGTGATTTGCAAAATAGCATAGTCTTTTCCAGGTAATATTTCAGAATTGTATGTGTTTAACAATCAAGGTTCTAGACACAATGCTACTATGTAATAATTGGAATCCTTAAATTCTTCGTTCATTTGTTTAATAAATTGTACCAAGTATCCATGCTTGTTGATTTATACAGTGAATAAATGAATGGGAACTGCTTAGTATTTAACCTGGTATTGAAAACAGCCAAGGTGGGGGTGGAAGGAATGCATTTTGCTCTCCACAGCCTTTTGTACCCTATGCATGTCTTCTCAAAAAACAAACTACTTGCCAGATCAACTAAAATTTAACTGACACTAGGTGTACAGAAACAAACTGGCTATATAACAGGTCAAACAATACGCCTCCTTCTTAGGAAACTCGTGTATTTTTTTAAAAAAGAACAAGGGAGCAAGGAAAAAAGAAAAAAAAAAACACAAAAACCTATGCTGCTTACAAAATGGAAAGTTTAGGGAGTGCAATAGAGGAAAATTATCTAGTATTCGGGTTCCTCTAGGTTCCCACTTCCTAGGGCCTGGTTTTTTACAAAGCACAATCTGAAACACATCATCTCATAAAGGAACCATGTCCTTCAGGGACAGGTGTGAAAGCCACGGGTAACCGGACCTAACTCAATGGATTTCTCCCCAGTGGCTTCTGCCCATCACCAACGACAAATGGGGTATTTAAGAAGTCAGCGGCTGCGCCTTCCAACTGGAAACGAAAATACCTGGATTCAAATCACCTTGCTCTTCTACCAGAAAAACACACGCTCTCCAGGGACGTGGATCTGCAATCCATCTATTATTTCCCCATTGAGGTAATCCGGATGCAGTAGATCCAGATGAAATCCACTAGAAATACAACGATGCTTCTCCACGGGGGTTGGGTGGGGATGAAAGGGGAAAAACCCGATATACAATGCTAAATTTTTTTAAACGTCATGGAGAATGGATAAAAGAGAGACATTTTACTATTTCACAGCAACAAAATATGACGCTTTTGGTCCCCCCAACCCCTAGCAAAAAAGGGTGTTGGAGAAAAGCGAACGACTGATCGGGGTCTGCTGATATTACAAAAGTTAACGGGCAGTTTTGCTTTGCTGGGGGCCTGACGGGGGAGGGAAGGGATGATCTCAGAGGTTTTGAGGTCAGATCCTGACATTCTCGCGCTCACAGCTAGACATCAATTGCTGGTGCGGGCTCTCGGGTCAAAGGTGAAGGCGAGGGAGAACCCATGCAGTCGCCTGAACTATAGACAGCAGGGAGGCTGGAGGACAACACACCGCTCCAACAACCACAATCGTGATTCCTCAAGTAAGCCGAGGAAGCTCGTCGAAAAGAAAAGGGTAATCCCACAACGCCCCCGCCCCTTGGAGAGAGGCGCTCTGCGATTGGGCCGCGCGGGTGTCACTCAAGGGCACTGAATCTAGAAAAGGCGCACGGCCGCAGGCAAAGCCCCCCACACGCCAGAGGGCTGTGGTAGGGCTGTGTTGTGTGACTCTCGTCTTTCCCCGCCCTAGCCCATCGAGCACGCTCATGGCTCCGCTAAGACCGTGTCTCCTAAGTCTCGTCCCCTGTGCCCCGCGACCGGCAGCTCCCCGCAGACGGGCAGCCGCTTACCTGGCGGCCGCTCCCACTGCCGATTCAATTCAGGGTCGGGCGAGCGACCTCTCGCGCCCGTTAAACTCGAGGGAGCGTGCGCGCGCCCGGCGTCTTGCCTGCGATTGGCTGCTCGGAAGAGGGCGGAGACGGCAGAGCGCGGCGCGCTCATCACCCTTCCCGTTCCCTTCCAGCAGCGAGAGCGGAAGAGGGAGGTCCGACGCTTGGGAACTGGGAGGGGGCGGGACTGCTGTCAAGCCCTCTCGTCTGATTGGCTCTCTGGGAATCTAACAGCTGCCACGCGGGAAAGAGGCCTCAGCTTCTCGCATGCGCAGTTAGTAAGAATGAGCCTCGGACGTGTGAGGGAAACCACGACTGGGGTACAGCGCGTGCGCAGAGCCAGGATCGCAATTACGATCCCTCTTCTGCGGTCGTTCTGGTTACCCCAGAACTTTGGGGGCGGAGGCTAAACCTGGGGCCAGGTAAGTGTTTGCGGAAAAGCCAGGCACCCACACGATTGCCCACGATTGTATAGGGATCTGGAGAGAGGATTGGGAGCCTGGAAGCCTTGACTTTCCCGGTTTGCGACCCTGAGTCGCGCAATCAGTTGACCCAAGGCCCTGTTCTGTCTGCTGACTGTGAGGTGAAGCCGGTCCGAATACCTGAGTTAAGTTTTCCCTGGATCTGGTTTACCCTAGGCTGCTGGGGGGCGGCCCTGGGGCTCTTCAAGGACTGGGGAGGAGGGGAGGAAAGCCCATCACTCTGGAAAACCAGTTCCACCGAGGTACGAGAACAAATGGAACAGTCTTCATTTACTTGTTCAGCAGAGCCTCCTGGCGCCCTTGGCACACAGTAGGTGTCAGTATTGCCCTTTCCACATCTTCCGAAGGACCACAGAGATAACCGGGTCCGCCCTGAGCCCCCCAGCCCATCTCATTCGCACTGTTCAGTCCACATTCTTCAGACTAGTTAACCTTCTCGAGCTCTTAGATTTCCCTCCAAGTGTCCTGAGCCCCACAGTCCAGGGACTTTGGCCTATCACTTAGATGGGCCTGAGAAGCCAGGATGCCAGAGATGTATTTGACCTTGGAATGACAAATATGCCAGGAGGCGTCCCTTTGCATCTGAGCCTCCTAAGAATACCTAACAATTATGTTTCAACAGTAAAAAAAAAAACCCTCCATCTCTATCCAAAACCTATCAGTGTATGGATGATTTCAAGCGTAAATAAATTGAACCCACCCACCCCAAACTGTGTTAATCCACCAGTGGATATTATGCTCATGTTAATACCTAAGCAAAATCAAATTATTTTTTAAATACATGGCTCTGTTTTCAGTGAACATATTTGAGACCCACCCAGAAAAACCCAGCAGTTTTATCACTAGTTCCAGTTGATCACAAAATCTGTTATTTGAGACAGTGTCGAATCTTGCACTCACAGGAGAATTAAGTGTGAATCCCTAAGACAGCTCCAGGAAAAGAGGTGTGTGTTTTCTTACAAGAAAAATATTAGCCCCAAAAGCTGTTAATGCTAGCGATTAGTTCCTAACCATGCAAGAGACAGCAAACGATTGTGTTGGCTATGAAATCAGATGGACTCTGTTCAGTTTGAGAGTATATGTTTTGGCTTTTTTTGTTGTTGGCAATGTGATTTTAGGTAGCTTTTTTTTTTTTAATCTATTAATGTCTTAGTAAGCCACCATGCTCAGGAGCTAGTATTCTGAGTAACCCAATTATCTTGTTAACCAGCTGATGCAGTGAAATGTTTTGGTAAGGTTGCTTATACCATATGTTAGGTTAAGCTCTTCAGTAGGGGTCTTAATTAAAAAAAATTCAGAGTGGAAATTGCCTTTGACTCATTGGACTAAAGAGAAGAAATGTCTTTTTCAAAGCTTTATAAGCAGCTAAAAAGGTAGTTTTTAAAGTCCCTGGAAATTATTTATGAATACAGAAAACAGATGTAGAAAGCTTCAGAAATGCCTGTAAATATATTAACTATAATAATTGTTCATCCATTCTAACTCTCCCTCCATACTGGAGATTTTGCAATACTTGTATGCAAGGTTACACCACTATCTTATGGCTTTATGAGGATATGATAACCACATAAGTTTATTATAACATCACATTGCTCCAGTATCTCTTTTGTCTTGAAGTCTTCAAATTGACAGCTTTATAGCAGAGATCTTTCACACTGATTGGGATAAGATCAGGCTATTCAGTAATGTGGCTGGCTGCTAATGGCTTTAGAAATTTAGTGCCTGTTAACCAGGGTGTTACTTTGTGTCACTGATTTTTATATGGTGTGTCTTTAGAGGGGGCAGTATTCCACAGCAAAAGATAAGGAACTCTAATACTTTAAATCTATAGTTTAACCATTAAACATGGAAGGAAATGATCAGACATACATTTAAGTGTGAATTTTTTTCATCTTTTCTGCCCTTCGTGAATTTCTTTACTGTATTAGCAAACTCCTAGAGGTCTCTGTTTAAACAAGGACTTGTTTCGATGAAGGTAGTTTGATCTTTCCATTAAACCTGCTGGGAAGTCAAGCTGTATTCTTGGCATCATAATTTTCTCCTTGGCACCTGCTTCCACAGGCCACAATTATGACCTCACCAAACAACATGTCTTTGGTAATTTCATGGTTTCCAAGTACTTCTTAAATGGGACCATACCAAGGAAAAGAATTAGCAGGACACTGTTCTAGAAGCCTTTTCACTCTGAGCTCTAAAACCAAAATCCATGAAATAATCAGTTTGCAGATTGGGTTTGTGGGGTCAGACACGGTTTATGGGGTGCGTTAAGAGTTCTTGAACTTCAGCTTAGGGACCCAAAGTGCTAATTGCCTTTGTGGCGACCTGCACATTTTTTTTCTCACCCTAGGAGGTATTGCCTCCGTTTTACAGATGAGGAAAAGTGGCCAGAGTGCCACAGTGAGTAAATCATGGCGTCAAGACATTGATGCAGCTCACACTGACTACAAAACAATATGGCCTTTCAGGGACAAAAAAAATGCGAGGAAGCGTCAAGAAGAGACAGTTGAGGAAAATGAGTTGATGTTAAGGAGCTAGGGAAAGAACAGGGCTGGAGGTACTGTGAAAGGTCAAGAAACAAGCTGTAGAAAGGATAAGTTTAGTTTGAAAAATGGACTGCCTAATGTTCTTCCAAGATAAGTCCTCCCGAAATAACCCACATAGTATGCATTGCTTCTTGTACCCAATACGATAATGTAATTGAAAGTGCTCTGAAAACATTTAAGTCCTAAACAAATACAAGGCATCGTCATTATGATAATAGAGGCTTGGAGACTTTTAGGAGAACACATAGTGTTATTATTGCTGCCTTTTTATGTGTTTCTGTCTTATTTTAATAGTGTAGGTGATAAATTATAAAGTTCCTGTTAGGCGCCATAAATAAAAGACACTCACGGTGATGCATACAAATAGGACAGGTGTAATTCTCTGTGGAGTCCAAGTTTTCTGTTTTAAACACCTGAACGGGATGTTGGTATCGTATGAATTGAAAGCCGCTCTCTTTATCTGCTTCATTAGTTGTCTCCTGAACTGTGCAGCAGTAAGCCTATAAAATTAGACCTGACCCAGAGCAGTCTCGTCTTCTTCGTGTCTCCCAAAATCAAAGATGATAGCTCTGCATTTCCTGCTCAGTCTATTATGCTTATCTTATTTGAGAAGTAATTCTCTGTAAACACTGACTGTTCAGGGTGAAAGGTGCTTTATCTTCGGCGTAAGCTCCCAAGCCTAGGAAAGGACACTGTCTGTTCTCAAGCCTGAGCCGTAGCTCCAGTGGTTCCATTCGGGGAGGTGTTCCAGCCCTCCTGAGGACTTCAGGCAGCTAGGATGGGGATGACCTAGATGTGAAAGGTCGAGAAAGGCTGCTTCATTTTAACTCTCATGCTGCAGGGAGCACCAAACACTTCTGAAACAAATTATTATTAAGCGTTTCTCAGAAAATCATTCTCCTCTCACTTAGCTTCTGGTGCCATCAGCTGGCCATTTTGTCTTTTTAAAGCTGCAGCATTGCACGTCAGTCTGTTCAAGTTCGCTGTGTTTGGTTCTTCACTATTGATTAGGTCATTGTTTTGTGACCTGTCATTTTACCTCTTTATTATTCCTAACAAGCTCCCAAGTGGGTGATGCTCTGTGGCCCATACCCTGAGTAGCAAGAGTCGAGAGCTGCGTCATCCAATATGGTGGCCACCAGCATGTGAGGCCAGTCCAGAACAACATGCATTGTAAGCGTGAATATGCCCCATATTTTGAAGACTTCATATTAAAAAAATCATAAAAATATCCATTTTTATATTGATTACGTGTTGAAACAATATTTTAGATGTATTGAGTTAATATAGTAAAACATTAAATATATTTTAAAACTATATTAAAATTAATTTCATTCGTTTCTTTTTTACTATTTTTTTATTTACGATTTTTAATGTGACTACTAGAAAATTTAGAATTTCACATGTGGCTCGCACTATATTTGGATCGGGCAACACCGTTCCAGAACACTTAATGGAATAGAAGCCAACATTTTTGGTATTCTTTTTTCAGGTGACCCATTTTCTCAGTCCCTTTGGTTATCATTTCACCTCTGTTAACTCAGATCAATATTCATTTAATTCTTTTCTCTAAATATTTCCCTTCCCCATCCATTACTCTCCGTCTCCATCTTGGACATCATGACCCAGGGGCTCTCCTCCAGCTGTCGCACTGCCAAGAGCCAGGATATAGGCAGCACCTTTGCTCAAAGCCCTTAGCCATGCCTCTCAAAGTGTGGTTCCTGGACCAGCGGCAACAGCCTCACGTGGGAGCTGTTAGAAATGCAGAGTCTGTTGGGCCCTACCCCAGACCTACTGCATCAGTATCCTACCCACAAGATCCCCAGAGGACTTGTCTGCACAGGAAACTTTGAGTGGTGAGAACTTGGACGGTCATCTCTCCCAAAGCTCCCCGTTTCCGTTCATCACCACATCTGTTCCTTTGGCTATTTCTGATGATGTTTCCGCAAGGTTGACATACCATGCGAGTTGTGTCTAAGAGAAAGTAGTGCTTGCCCTAAATGGAGAGCTAAACAGCGAACTTGAGGCCAGTGGCATCCAGAGGTGAGTCCAGGGATGAAATCCTATGCTTTCCTGAAAAGATTCAGATATTCTCTCTCTCTCTCTCTCTCTCTCTCTCTCTCTCTCTCTCTCAGAGACACGAAAGGAAAGGCAATGCCACCCCGTTCCACTCCAGAGCATTGGAACTGTCGGTGGCACAAGCCTGACCTCACTGCCTCTGGCTTAACCCGGTGACTGTTGGCTCCAGTCACAGTCACGTTGCAGAGCCTAGCATGCCATCTGTGCAGCTAGATGTACGTCTTGGTTTGGGTTGATTTTGGAAGCCAGGGGGCAATGTGTGCCCGCTGGATCCAGGTTGGGAAGAGGCCCTAATAGAAACAGGTTCCAGGTCCCCACAAGAGGCACTCCAGGTGACCTGGGGACACAGGAAAGCTTGAGAACCACTGCTCTGAGGCAGGTGACCCATTCCGGGCTCTGGCCTGTATCACGTTCATAGACGTCTTCGTTGGTTTTATGCTGCAGGCTCCCAGGGCTCCCGGAGGTCCATGCTTGGCCTGGCTGTAGTAGATGCTGCAAATATCATTGACCGAATGGAACATTCCCTTTTGTAAAGGCCTGACACCTATCATCTCTAACTTGACCAAGTGGGAAGGGCCTCGGACAATGAGCGGTTTTAACCCAAACTGCAGTCAGCTTTAGTGCAGAAGCGTCATCATCAAAGGAAATGCAGAGCTGACGGGAAGTCGGGGAGGAGAGCCAGCCCTGAATTGAAGCTCACCCTCCCAGAAAAGAATTAGAGCAAAGCCCGTCATGGCCGCTGGTTTCCCCTTACTAGCTCTCCTTGTTACCATTTTTTTTTTCTTCTTTTTTAATGTCACGATGAGCCCTAATTTGAGCTGCTTTTATTGTTCCCCAAAGACTTTGGGTGGCTCTGTGGGTATCACAAAAAGCGAAATCCAATCCGTCTTCTTCTCTGGGCTTTAGGGAAGTGGAACCATGGGTGTGTTTGTCATTTTTAACTGTCATTGGAGTAGAGCCAAAGCTCCAGGAGATACTAAAAGTATTTAGACCCGTCCGATTGGCTGTTGGAATTAGCTGTTACACAAAGCAGCCAGTCAGTAACCGAACACTGGGGACCTTCTTGAACTCCAGCTGGGTGGGAGACCTTCCAGTGTGTGTGTCGGCTCTGAACTAGGACAGAAAGGTAGAGATTTGAAACAGTGGGCCGATGACAAAGCAGCTGATAAAAGCACCCTCCTCCGCCCTTTGTCTGGGGGTTTCGCTTCGTCTCAGACTTGCTTCCTTTCTTTGTCACCGCACTATATCCCAGGGCTGTCCTGCCTGGTCAGATTTACTACCCAGCGGAAGAGAAACCCCAAGAGAGGCCCTGGGCTCCATAACAAATCGAGTCCAGGGACCAGACACCATCTGATACACAAAGGAATTTTGTTCTGTGGATCGAAAGCAGAAATAAGGGAAGGGGCATCGACTTGCTCTCATTCGGAGCCATTCATTGGGGAGTGGGCTCTTTGTTGTAGCCATTTCAGGTAAAGTGCCTAGGTTTATCGTTTATCTTTTTTTTTCCTGACACTTCTGAAATATTTCACACACAATAAACAAAACCGATTTTTAAGGTACAACTTTCATGGGCACCGCTGCTTCAAAGTGGATCCCGTCACAGCCATGAAGCACCTTATAGCACCGTAATTATCACCCACTGAGGCTGACAGGACACACTGGCCATCAGACTGGTCACAAAGAAGTGAGTTTAGACCATAATGGCAGTCACAGAATAAAAAACTAGCATTGGCGTGAGGCCTGAAAAGCATATTTGTTTTCCGCAGAAATAGCAGATAGAAATGAAGACTATTGTCATTCTAAAAATGACCAGTATCATCTCAATGTCAGCTGTACTGATTATGCTTACTAAGACAGACACTTAGATTTAAAATAGCAGAAAATGCACCTACAGACAAAGAAGCAAGGCCTGATAGCACACGTGTGCATCAGACTTCCTCGATGCTTCTCTAGAGATCGGTGTGGGGCTCAGCAGGTGTAGCAGTCAGAATGGACTGTGGGCAAAAGGTGCGTGAGCTGAGAGCAGACCTGGGAAATAATTCGGTGGGTGTTCGCTTGCTTTTGGCTTAGGAAGTTGGCTTAGACTCCAGCCCCATGTTAGAAACCAGTTGCCGTGGAACTAGAATTTAGTGTTTCCAATGGTAAAAGCTACTTAGAGCTGCCATCGGAAGCACTGATTACAAAGAGCAGCTTATGTTTTCAGTGCCTACATAATCCTAGATCAAGAAGCATAAAAAGACCCCAGTCTGTTGAGATCTTGCTTCCTGGCGTATCCTGTTTGACTCAAATTTTTATAAAAAATTTTTTTAAAAGCACATTTTTAGTTCCCGTAGCACACTGGGTGACAAGGATTTTGCTAAAAACCAGTCTTGTGCCTTCCAAGGTACCAACAAAGCCCTTTCTGGAACATTGTTTTCTCATCTTTAAGCCCTTGTGGGATGGGTGAAGAAGGGCTTCTTTACCCATTTTGCAGATGAGAAAACTGGCCCAGGTTATGAGTCGCCCCTGTTCACAAGGGGAGCATGGAGAACTTTGAAAACAGGTAGCACCTTTCAGATCCTTCTGCCTTCCTCCCCTCAAAAGAAGCAAAGGCCTGTGGGTTCGCCGTGTCCTCACAGCTCTTACTCTATACAGTTCGGTAGTCAACTAAGACGTTTTTGGCCGTATGCTATGTCTCGAGTATTTATGTAAATCTTACTGTTAAATACCGCTTTCTTTTTGACGGTCTCTCTCTGAGTGTGAACTCACGAAGACAGTCTCGCTCTTCACCTCGTATCGCTCACTGTACCTTGCACGGTATTGGGAACCTAACAGGCACCTTAATAAGAGTCCGTTAGTTTGGCGGTTCTGATGATGAGTTCCAGTTGGATCACAATATTGGCAGCGCATCTAAGGGAACAGATGTTCCTATTCAAACCCATGAAACTGGAAACACTAAAAACCAACAATCATGACATTGATGGATAGTGATATTTACTATGTCAGACCGTTTAAGCTCAGCTATGAGATAGACTGTGGTCTTCACATTCTGATTTCAAAGATTCGCAAACGTTTCAGTAATGTCACTTGCAGGATGTACTATTTAATATTCCTTTATCAGATTACAGCCCTGTTCTTTTGAATTTCACACTTAAAACCTCTCCTTCCTGAGAAAACAGCACCTCTGGGTGCTTTGAAGATATTTTTGGGCTGCTCCAAGAAAATATTTATCAGCTGGCAGGGCACGTACTGCTAAGAATACAGCCGGTGCCAGGCTGGAGACGCCGAATAATGTCTTCACTAATTCCCTCAATCCCCTGCCCCACAGGAGCGCTCATCGGCTGAGATGGTTTCTAAAGGCCGTCTTAGAACCTGAACTTTAACTGGAGAGCAAGTGCATCCCCCTGACAGGCTGTCTTCATCCCACTTAGGTCCTGACCAAGCAGAGGCCCTCCCCATGACCGCCTCGGGCTTCCTCCGTTTTCCTGCACCGCTGACCAGGAGGTGCTTGATGCCATGGGGACTCTGGCTCGGGGAGAGGCCAGCCTTGTTATCCCCAGGACCAGCAGTCACTGCGGCCCAGATGGCAGGCAGGAAGGACCACCCCACTCTGCTCCCCCTGGATGAGAGTGAACTTGAAGAGCAGTTTGTGAAAGGACATGGTCCGGGGGGCCAGGCCACCAACAAAACCAACAACTGCGTGGTGCTAAAGCACATCCCTTCTGGCCTCGTCGTCAAGGTAGAGAACGAAGCCTGGCGGGGGGATCCCTGGGTTCCCAGTTTTAAATGGCTGGTATGGCCACAGTAGGTTTCTCCGGAAGGCCATGCACTCCTCGTCCCCTGCCTGTGCCCTGCCCGGAGCCATTCCTCCCTAAGGCAGAGTCTTTTGCCAGGATCCTCTGAGCCAGGCTTGCCGCCATCCTGTGGTGGGCAGGATGGCTGTGGTCCTGCCGTGGGTGCCAAGGCCCTGAGCAGTGAGCAAGCCTGAAGTATTTGCCAGCAGCCTTAGCCCTTAGTGACCCAGCTGATTAACTAGGACGGTCACATCCTCCATGTCCCTCCGTCCCCTGTTGGGTAAATGTCAGTGGTACCTACCCTTCTGAGCATGAGATAATGGAGGCAAACCATTTCAGCCCTCAGAAGAATGTGCCCTGATGCCTACAGGAGTCTTCCTTCTTTATAGCAAAACCGGTCTGATCAGAGTCCACCGGCTTTCTGCACGGCCTGAACCTCTAGGAAAGGGCAAAGTGCTCGCTCCTGTTTCCTGTTCTGGTGGTAGTGGCCCCATGCCTCTGTTGTGGGACTGTCGGTCCACTGTGTCGCCAGAGGGACAGTGGAGAACAAAGAGCAAAGGCAGGTTTGTCGTGTACCAGCGGTCCTTCTGTGTCACGTACACACGTGGCCAGCACTGGCCCAAGCAGCTTCGCGCGCGCTAACTCAGTCCCCACAAGCCCATACTCGTTCTCATCGCCACGGCACAGGGAAGGAATGCGAGGCAGAGGCTGGGAACTTGCCCGAGGTCCGACGGCGGTGGAGCCAACCTAGACCAAACCCAAACCCTGTTCACCGCCAGCTTTCTGGGCCAAGAATGTATCAGTTAAAACCTCAAGTCTCTTTTCTTTTCCTCCTTAAAAAAGTGTCATTCATGAGCAACAGACAAAATTCTGAAACCTGACATAATTTTTGTCTACCCTGTTTTACATAACTTACTCCAAATTCACTTTTACAAGGTGTGACCAAAAACTATGGTGAATTGTTTCAATTTTAAAAAATTATTCCAGTAAAAGACACATTGTCATTAACCCCCCTCAAAATACTTCCCATTGCTTCGAACACACTTATCCCATCATTCCTGCCACTTTCTGAAGCGGTTCTGGAAGTCCTCTTTTGTGAGTATCTAGTTGCGCTGTCGTGGCTGCCTCGATGTCCTGAACCATTTTGACTTTGGGGAAGAGCCAGAAGTCACATGGTACCAGATCTGGTGAATAAGGTGGATGAGGACACACCACAATGTTTTTATTGGACAGAAATTGCCGTATACCAGAAGCGATGTGTGACACGGAGCGTTGTCATGATGGAGGATAAAGTAAAGACACTCATGAAAGAGGACTTCCAGAACTGCTTCAGAAAGTGGCAAGAAGGATGGGATAAATGTGTTCAAAGTGAGGGGGAGTGTTTTGAGGGGGATTAATGGCAATGTGTCTTTTACTGTAATACGTTATTTTTTATTTAAACATTCACTATGTTTTGATCACACATTGTAGTACTTACTGTTCTTTCCACCCTGACTTCACAGAATTTTTTATCAAGCTTTGCAAGGCACTTGCCATAACACTAAAGCATTACGCTGTGGCTGATGCATAATAAGAGGCTGTTTTCCTCCTTCAGACAAGTTGACGCTTATAAATGGGGCACACAGAGTGCCTGTTCTCTGGCCATGAGCTTGACATACCGGCCGGTGTTTTCAAAATTATTTTGGGACTTTATTTGAAGTTATTTGCTCCTAACCAAAACAATACTCCTAATTATAAACAATCACAGTGAAAGCCACATAATACAGCCGGGGTGTGGGCCAGGGCGGAGGCCGAGCAGAGGCAGGAAAGGTTACGGCCTTGCTCTGTCACTGCCTCGCTGGGATTCTTGACAAGCGGCTTAGCCTCTTGGGCCCGTCCACACCTGTAAAGTGACCAGGTTGAGTTGAATGACTCCTGAGGTCCCTCCCAGAACATTCTGTGGTTTTCACCTTATGAAATCTCTTACAGTGCCATCAGACAAGATCCGTCGATCAAAACAGAAAGCTAGCTCGGCAAATCCTACAAGAGAAAGTGGACGTCTTCTACAATGGTGAAAACAGTCTTGTTTACAAAGACAAGCGAGAGGCAGAGAAGAAGAAGCAAGAAAGGAAGAAAAGAGCAAAGGAAACCCTAGAAAAAAAGAAACTACTGAAAGAACTCTGGAAATCAAGTCAAAATGTCCCGGGAGAGAAAAGTAAAGATTCTGACTGAAAGAAAGCCAGTTCCATCACCAGTGTCATTTACAGAGCTTTGAAAGCAGTCGGTTTGACAGATTTAAGAGACATGAAATTTTTTAAATGGCAGACTAAACTGTGGTGACGAGAGGTGCACACTTCGAGAGTAAAACTGAAAGAAACAAGGAAGTCACTACTGTCAAAGAGCACTGGCTATTTAGGGGGAGAAAAGAGGTTGTCATTTGGAGGTGGCACTTGGAGGGGGCGCTTCAAGGGTGGCTGACGGTTGTTTCTTGATTTGGGCAGTAGTTAGAAGGATGTCGCCTTATTTCTTTAAGATGTACATGTGTGTGATTGTATCTTATCAAAGGTTACAAATAAAACTATTTTTTGAAAAAAGGTCCATTTTTACGGAGAACTATAGAATTGAGACAAACAGTAATAGCATTTAGTGTTACCCTGTCATCTGCTGGGAGGTCATTGCTCAGTGAGTTAGATGTCAGTTAATGTCACAGTAAGAGAATAAAAGCGAAAACAAGATGGCAAAAAAGTTACAAGTGAGTTATTTCCCCATTAGCTTATTAGACTATGTGACCAAGTGGAAACACACGTATCATTCCCTGTAGGTTGATTTACAAGTAGGTTTATAAGAGATGAGTTTCCAGAAACCTGATTGGTTCTTGAATTTGCTGGGTACCATCACTCAAGCTGGATTTGACCTTACAGTTGTTTGGGCTTTTTTAAGGCATGGTTAATGCCTGGCTTGTTAGAACACGTGGAGTCCACACATAAAACCAGTAGGGAAGAAACGCATGAGGTGAGAAAGGCCACTGCCAGACACAGGGCCTGCCCCGCCTCATTGTGAAGATCAGACCATTCAGGGCGTGCATCCAAATCAATTGACCTGTCAGGCAGCCAGTTACAGCTCCTCACCTTGGAGTGACCTGGTTTGAAGCTTAAGCGCTCTAGCAAGGCTCTCTAGACCTCTGGTGGCAGTGAGCTGAGCCCGTCCACATTCCAAGCTCCATTCAGAAGGCAGCCAGGTGAAGTACCTGGAATAGTACACAAGGAACCAGTGAGATGGAAAGCTGCAGGCAGACAGGAGGGACAGGCTTCACTTTGTCTCTTCTTGTACCTTTTTAAATTTCCTGTCGTGTGCATGACGGAGACACAGACAAGCCCACTTCCTAGAAGCCATTTCTACAGCTTTCGACCTGTCATGGCTGGGACTGCCTCATGCCGGTGAAACTAACCGTATGCCCCCGCCAAAGCGAACCAACCGTCACCCTATGGGGATCTGTGCCTAAGGTATATGGTCAAAGTCACCTCAAAAGCCCCTTGGAAGGCACCACTCAGACTCAACACATCCAGCGGAACCTGGTGTTTTCCCGGCACCAGAGCTGGTAATTCAGTGAACACGAGACCAAGTAGCTCGCTTGAGTTCAGCAGCCGCACTGTACTGTATTTCTTTCCTGGCGTGCGCTTATGTCTGCTGCAGTTGAAATACACCACAAGGCAACTTCTGACCAACAAACACATTCTCTCCCCAGCACGTTGTGTTCATGACATCATCACAAAACGTTCCTGGGTCAGGTGGGAAGAGACCAACCTTGAGGGGAGGTCTCTCCCACCTCTCCCCGAGGAGCTGAGTTTTAAAATACCACTTGATTCAAGGAACCGACATTTCAATACAAATTGTTAATGAAAATAAGCTTTATTACATCAAGTAATAAATACATACAAAGATGCAAACAGTGTTAGTCATTTTCTTCCAGATGTTTGGATCAACTTACAGGAAAGGCAGAACTGAAATCTACATACAGTCTTAGGAAAAGTTTCAAGGGTCCTTGTTAGGTTTGGTAAGTTGCTCTTTCTTCTGTATTTATAACTTGTGCATTTTTTATATTGACTTCAGAGCACTAATAGTCATGCAAATGCTTAAGCAAAAAAGAAGTTACATTAAGCAGAATCTATACTGTATGGCAAACGGGACCGGCTACTAAGTAAAGCGTGCTGTCGGTATGCACTAAAAAAAACCCCTCCGAGTTGTATTAGCTTATGGAAAAAAAAAACAAAGAACAGTTTGAGTAACATAAATGTATTCAAAAGAGAAACACCGGAATCGTGGAGGCAAACTATAGTTTGCTGTGAGATAGGTAACTTTTACATGCATCTTTTGAATCAACGCTTGAAAAAGCAAAACAACAACAACAAAAAAACCCTGGGTAGTTCCTGACTATTTAAAATGTAAGTCCTAGTCAGCTGCAAAATGTCTTCTCGACCTTAGACTGTAGGTTCAGAGCCTAATGAATCATGGGAGAGACACGGGAGGAGAAACCAAACTGTTACCATTTTGAAAACAAATTTCATCTGAATGGGGGAGATGAGCTGTCACTTCTTGGAAGATGGAGAACCTTCCACACTAACAAGGCAGCTAGGACCTGGCATTTCGTTCCGTCTCAGCCAAGCACTCCCGAACCAGTCCTCTAGCGTGGATGATGCCTGGAAGAGGAGAAGCAGAGGCTGGGGACCATCCGGCCGAACCCATTCCAGAGAGGAAGGGGTTGTTTCACGGCTGGCTCTGGTGGGGAGCCAGCCAGAAAACACTCACACTGCAAAGTGCAAAGGGGCTCGGAACCTGCGTCCGAGCCACCCAGGCATCCAAGCGGTCTGAAGGCACTAAACTAACATCCCACCTCTCAAAGCCATTGCCTCCCAGTGGATCGCTTCAGGTCTCCCTGAACACTTCCTCCTGCACTCAAGGTGACAGCCATTAAGCTCTCTTCATGCCATGACTCTACAGTAACTGTATTACCACCTAGATGACAGGAGTGCGTGTGTCTAAGCCTGACCCACTTTTGGAGATTCCACGCCTTCAGATCATTATATTTCTCCGGCTTCTTCTAAATTCTAGAAAGGGCTTGACAATGTCAAATAGTCTGCTTCTGTCAGGGTGCAAGATGACGACAGCTCACTCGTATCAACTTTGGTCCACTGTGACGTGCCTCCCCAGGGTACCTGAGCCATCGTCTGCCGTTCCTCTCCCCACCTTTTCTCTCTATGGTTTCTACTGCACTTCATGAAATACTGATCTCATGTTACTAGACACCAAGAATCTATTCCTTCTAAGAGATGACTCCCAGAGGGCAACGGGAATGACAACCCCAAGTCACTTAGGCATCCACACCTCACAAATCTTACCAGAACTTCAGATTTTTTTTTGTAAAGGGCCAGACAGCAAAATATTTTAGGCCTTGGGGGCCATTCAGTCACAGCCACGACTACTCAACTCTGCCATTGTATCATGAAAACCACCATAGATGTGACATAAGCAACAGGTGTGGCCATATTCCAATAAATCATTACGGACACTAAAGTTTGAATTCCACATAATTTTCATGTGTCAAAAAATCATGGTTTTTTCACCATTAAAAACTGTAAAGGGGCCGGCTGAGTGGCTCAGTTGGTTAAGAGCTCGCTCAAGAGTTTGAGCTCTGAGCAACAGCGGTTCGAGTCAGCCCGAGCTGAGCAGCCATGAGCTGCCAACAGGTGGCGGGATGGCTCAGCTAAAAAAAAAAACAAAAAAAAACTGTAAAAACCACTCGGCTCATCGGCTGTAGCTTGGCGACCTATGGACAATGCATCTGACTCCCTGGGTGACCCTTTTCGCCCTATGACGTAAACATGGCTGGCGTGGGCTCGGCCGTCAGTCAGGGTGACTGTGGGACCAGCGGCTCACCCAGGATGTGCCCCAGAGCGGTAACAGGCCATGTGCTGACTTGAACCACCACATTTTGGGGGTGATAACAGGATGCCTGTTAGACTTTGGGGTCCAGCATCTTCCCAGGGATTTCTATTCAGGTAACCAGCGTGCAGGTCACCAGGACTCCTTGCTTCCTCTGACTCCAAAGAGCAGCCCACCTGACCTCTGGGTGGGATCAGGGTTACCCTCCCTCCACGCCCCCCAAGCCTCCGACGGCCAGGCCCCCTTCCCCACACCTGCGCCTGACCCAGCTTTACAGTCAGTCTTCACAAGGGTTGCTAAACACCAGTCAAGCCACTGCGTTTAGCACGAGTCTGTCCTCAGCCGGCCTTGCCTATCTGAGGAGTCACGGCCTTAACAGCAGCCTCCTTTATGCCTCGGATTTAAAGCCAAAGAATGTTCCTCTCTCCTTTCTCCAGCCCTTTTAAGAATCCCCAAATCCCTCCTGAAATTAAATTCACACATAGGCCACTGTGCTGAACTGCCACCTTCTAAAATAGAAATCCCCTTCTCCCTTTGCCTTTTACTTCGTGAGGTAGCGAACTGTCTCACTTCCTCCTGAAATCAGCTGGCCAGTCACATCTTCACGTTGAGTCACTTTTCTCTGTGACGTCCTCCTCCCACCCGCCCTCCCTCTTCAATCATGAAAGAACTTCAAAGCGCTCTGGCTCTCCCGCCGGGGGCCTAGGACAGACCCACTCCCCTTTGGACCCCGTCCGCCAACAGGAGCGGGGCAGGCATGGGGCAGAGCTCCAAAGATTCGTTTTTAAAGCAGGTGGAGCCTCCTGGCAGCACACGGGGCAGGCAGGCGGGCGGGCAAGGCTCACGGGCTGGGGCTGCCCTGCTCAGAAGCGCCATCTGAAGACCAGTGGCCACCAGCCCCTCCCCAGCAGATGCTAAGCCCACATCCCACAGAGCCACTCACATCCCATGGTGACTCTGGAACAAAACGGGAGCCCCTGAGGCTCAGGGACTTTCCCTCCTCCACCCTCCAATGACCTCCGTAGAAAATCTTTCACAGTAGTGATGGGCCAGTGCTTTGGGGTCCCCAGCAGTGATGCGGCACCTGGGATGCGGGAGTCTGGGCCCAGGACGCACCTCGTTTTAGTCTCTCCATCGCACTCTTGCTCCCCGCGTAGGTGGGTCTGATCTCTTTCCCCAGCTCTTCGATGATGGCCAGCAGCTCGGCGTATTTGCTCTGGGGCACCTGGCTGTTCCCAGTTCCCTGGAATCAGGCAGGAAAGGGTTCAGAGAGATCAAATGCCAAACTGACTCCAATGCCACGGTCCGGTCCCCACCATATGCTGGTGGCTGCACGGGCAGGGAGTGGCTCAGAGCTGTTGCCTCCGCCGGGGCCAGGAACGTCCCCTCTGAGGGACAAGGACAGAGCAGGTAGGTGGCCCTCTACTGTCCTCATTCACTCAAAGAAACCACCCAGCAGTTTCCAGGAAGCTCTTTCAGCTCCTCATATGGCTTGTATGGACAAGAAAGGGTTCACCAAGAATTTCCTAGGACCTGGATGGATGCAAATGTCAGCCGGGGGCTGAGGGTCCAGAGCCAATGGGTGAGACGGAGGCCACACCAGGCGTCAGCAGGAGTACAAAAGTCACCAAAGACCATCCGGACGGAGTCCAGAACATGTTTAAATTCACCCATCGTCCCCCACGGGCAGGACCCACCCCACAGAAACCCTTTCTCCAGACCACCACAACAGCTCCAAGCAAGCGCCCAGATTGCGAGGCTGGGTTCCCCGCGGGGCTGTGGGCCCAGGCAGCCTGCTCAGGTCTCTCCTTCTCTGTCCCTGTTTGTCCCCCTCCTCCCCTCTCCCCCCTCAGCTGCACCAGGGCAGCCCTTTCCCACCACGAGGCCCTCGCCTGTGCCTCCCTCCTTCTCTGCCACCTCTGCTTCTTGGCCTTGTGGTCCAGCTTCCGGGCAGGATGCCGGCGCCTCCTCGTGGCCCTGTGGTCCTCCTCCCATAGCTCCGACTGCGGAGTGGCCAGGGTACTGTGCGCCCTCTCCAGGCTGCGCCCTAGCCCGTCCTCCCACCACCGCCGCTTCCTCAGGCGGTTCCGCTTCCGCTTCTCCTCCAGGGACAGGCCGGCCTGGCAGGGCACTGGCCTGGGAGCCGCCACCTCATTCCCAGGGGCGGCCTCCATGGCGACCTCAGAATGTGGCTGAGTTCCGACCATGGGAGGGAATCTTGCAGCTGGCGACCGAGGGCTGGTCCCTTTGCGGGCGTTTCCCTGGCAGATGCAGGTGCAGCTGGAGTTGGAGCGGTGGCTTCCTCCACTGATGCTCCTATTGCCCCGGCAACCCCCACTTGATGGTGAGGAAACTGAGTCTCAGCGAGGTTGCCAAACAGGGGTCAGTCTCCTAAGTGGTGGGACCAGATGTAAATGCAAGTGCCTGACGCAGGGGTCACCAGCTCCTGAGGAAACACATCTGGACTCTACCAGGACATGGGCCCGTCTTCCTCTTTGCTGGGGCCACGACCTTGTGGAGCCGGTGTGGGCACCGCATCAAGGGCAGGCCTTCCTTCCCCAAGAACCAGGCACCAGGAGACCCACCAGGGACACACGTGGGGTGCTGGCCTCAACAGCATCTGGGGCTCTCGGGGCCTCTGGCCTTCCTTGGGCTCCCCCAACTGCCCCATCGCTCAGGGTCCCCCGTAAACTCCTTGCCAACCCTCTGTTCTGATGCCTTGAGCCTTGAACATCAGCGCAGCCATGACCTTGGCGTGAGGAAGCTCAGATGACCGCTCCTCCACTCCATCATCTCTACTCCTTTGTCTCTCCCACCGACTCCCCCTCCCGGAGGGTGGGGAGCATGTCCCCTCAGTGCTCAGGCCACCCCCCAGAACTCTCCCGCCACGCATCACCCCCTCTGTCTTACCTGGGTATAGCCGAGAGACGGTGGCCCGTAATCACTCAGCAGCTGTCGGTACTGTGAGGACGTGGCCATGCTGGTGGAGGGCGGGTGGACGCTCCCAGCTAGGGGGGAGGAGACAGGCATCAGAAATTGCGTAGCTTTGACCAGTTGTACCCAAGGCAAGGACTCAGTCCTGCAACAGTCCCCCTGCCCACAGCCCATGCCATCAACAGTGGTCTTTGGGCTCTGGAGGACAGAGAGTCCTGCTCCTGTCCCCTAGTGTGGCCTTGGCCGACACTCGGCCTAGATGACTGATAGTGAAATGTAGCTAACAGGCCATTGCTCTTCACACTCACCACCACAGCAGACATGGCTAATCGATCACAGACCGCTTTCCCATCCATGCAGTTGGGACTGGTACCAAAGATGACATTTACTGCTATTCTCAGCCTAAGCCTGGCCAGTCCCCTTTCTCTGAGTCCTGCTCCCCTGACATTGATAGCCTAGAGCCACATCACTGCCACAACAGTCCATCTACTACTGAGGCTGGTCCACACCTGGGCTAAGACTTCCTGTGGACCCAAACCTCTGCTGGGCTATATGGTGAGGAAGACACAGGGAAGGTCTGGAGATCGGAGACCCAACCCTGGCTGGGGACTGGTGCACTGGACACAAAGTCAGGATGCTGGAGGATATCACGACCTGTGTGCATCCTCAGACAAGCCCCTCAACCTCTGAGCCCGCCGCTCTCTCCCCCAAAAGGGGACAGGACTCGACAATCTGACTCGATGCCCAGATGGCTCGTACCCCAAGAAGGGAGGGGTAAGGCCGCACTTATGGACTACAACACTCAAAGACACTGCCCCTCAGCAGTGGGGGACCTCACGGGGCCAGGGCCCAGCTCAGAACAGTCTCCTGAATGGGGAGGTAGGAAGGTCCTCAGCAGGGAATTTTCTAGCTCCATCCAGCGCAGGAGCTGGAAGCATGCAGACCCATAATGGCATCCGAGTGGCCATTAGCGGGTAAAGGATGTCCTGCAGAATTACAAACAGCGGTAACCATGGAGAATTTACCTAGCCCTCCTCAGCAGCTGCCCGCCTGCCTCCACGCCCGGCCGAGGAGCAGCTCCCCCCGCCTGCCGCCTGCAGAGCCAAACGGTCTCTCTCACACACACAGCGGGCTCTGCAGACTTGGCCCCGGGGAGGGACAGCTGGTGCCAGGCTGGCCAAAAGGACCAGCTGCTCATCTAGTGTGGGCAAGGGGAGGGGCGGAGAGGAAGGAAGGTCAGGATCTCAGGCTGATGGAGCTGGAAGGGGCCCCAGAGAACCCTGGAGCCCCTCACTGTAGAGAGAAATAAGACCAGAGAGGGTAGGCGCTGCCCCAGGCCACACAACGCAGAAGAGGCTAACACCCCAACACTCTATATCCAAGATATCTTCCTTGGTTGCAGGCCTGCCCTAGATTTACTCACCAGGGCCCAGGTTTAAGCCCAATCAGAAAACACGGATTCTGATACCTCCAAGCTGGTAACTGGGCACATCACTGGGCGACTCTGAGCCTCTAAAGTGGGGGTGATAATGCACTGTAGAAACGTGCTGTTCAGCATGGGGACGAACTACCATGTTTTGACCTCGGTCCAAGGCAGCCACGGTGTGCAGCGGCCAGAGTGCAGGAATTGGGGCAGGGTGGGTGCCCCCAGCTCCCCTCACATCATCCAAATCCCAGTTTCCAGTGAGTGTGGTCTGGGTAGCTCAGGGCTTGCAGCCCCGGACCTGAGTTCTAATCCTGACCACTAGAAGTTACGATACCTCTCTGAAAGGCCAGGGTACTAAATGTGAGGCATGGATCACCCCACTGCACTTCAAGGCGTCTAGAAGATGCCAGCTCCCTGGCAGAGATGGGCTGGCACCTCCCAGGCATTTTCCTGCCTTTCTCCTCCCCTTGCTTTTTCACTGGGCTTCTGCCTCCCCGGCCTGTCTTCTCTCCCTACAGGCAAGGTTCTACACTAGAAGCTAGTCCAGCTGTGCCATACTGGCTGTGTGACCTTAGACAAGCCCCTTCCCTCTCTGGGCCTCAGCTTCTCCATCTGAGGCAATGGTTCCCCACATTGCTGCTCTAGGTCCTGTTCTTCAGTGGTGCTGGGCTTAGGTCTTAGGGGCTAAGGGAGAGAGAGGAAGAATGAGAAATTGCCGAGTTTTGGTTGCAAGGGTAACCTAGGTGATATGGCAGGTGACACCAACTCTGTGCCAGTGCGGTCCCTTACTCTGTGTTGAGGGGCGGGCGGGTGTCCCTGGAGAGTTGGCAAGGGCCCCCGAGTTACACTCCTTCCTACAGACCAGAGGGTCGGGCTGCACAAGGCCAGGCAGAAAACCAGACTGGGCATGAGCGCCGCGTCTCCGAGCATCGCAGACAATGCGCGCAGTGTGCGGGGACCAGGGAGGCTGAGCAGAGGGAGGGACTGGCAGAGGCCAGCAGCTCCTGGGGCCAGGCACAGCTCCCCGCCCCCACGCCAGACAAAGAGCGGCCTGGGCCTGGGGAGCTGGCGGCCTTCCCGCCACTTGGGGCGCCTTGGAGGGGGGGGGCCCTCTCCGTCAGGGAGGCGGGGGCTTTGTCTAACTCCGCCACTGCCACCGCCGGCCAGGCCGTGGCTTGGCAACCCGTGTGCAGGAGGCAGGGCCGGAGGGCGTGAGGGATGATGACAAGGAAGCCGGAGGAGCGGCAGCGAAGAGTCCATCTTGGATGCAAATGGCAGGGGGAGATGGTGCTTTCTAAAGGTGTCCACGGGGAAAGGGGCGGCCCGCACCGAAAAACACCAGCGATCCAGGGACCTCAGCACTCCTGGAATTCACCATAGGAGAAAGAAGAAAACCTGCACAGGGCTGCTAGCCAGCCCAGAACAGGGCTTCAGGGGTCCTGAGTGGGTACCCCTGTCACTCTGTGACCCCAGTCCCCAAAGGTCCCAGTTTAGGGCCCCTGCCTCAACTATTCCTATGTCAGGATTGAGAGTTCTCGCCTGTCCAGGCTGGTGCAAGAGCCTCACCTTTGCCACCCGAGATGACAGATGAGGGAGGCGGTGAGAAATGCTACCTGGGCCACAAACCTGTGTCTGTGAGGTTTGCAGACCCCAGAACAGGTGAGAACATTTGAGAAAATAGTGCTGTTTGCTCTGGGGGATCAGAGCTCACATTTGACCAATGCAACTATCCCCACAAGGGTACCTTGAGTCTTAATCCTTTCTAATCCCCAAATCTACGTCCAAGAAGTTAAAAAAATACACACACACACACACACACACGCACGCACGCACACACACACACACTCTGCTTCTTTGGGTCCCTCTTCAGATTTTTGGAGTTATGGAGTCACCGTTTGGAGACATGGCCCAAAACTTGCGGCCAACTGCCAGCGTGGCATTTCTGACCTGCAAGGCCAACCCCCCCCCCCTTCCCGCTTCCCGCCTCTGCCCCCTCCCCGAGCACCAGCTTGCTTCGCTTTTGGGGAAATCTGTTCCCAACCAAGTGTCTAAAGGAGAAGAGCCCTGGTGAGGGGACAAAGCCGGTCATGTCCGAGTCCCACAGTTTCACCTCCCCCTCACCCCGGCTCATTCAGTCCCCAGGGTGAGCCCCTGGGCACAGCCTAAAGCAGCCTGACAACTTCTGGAGGAGTTTCCTGGGACTGCCCGGCTCCAGCCCCAGGGAGGGGCGAGGACGGTCCCTCCCAGCTTCTGCAGGAGGAGGAGGGGGCCTTTTAGGCCCAGACTTGGGGGCTCCGAGCTGTGGGTCCCTGCGGAGACGTCCCCCACACACACACCGCCCACAGGCACTCAGAAGCCCCCTATCCTCTCCAACTTCTTCCACTCGCTCACGCCTGAGGGGGACCTCCCCCGTGCCCCGTTCTGGGGACGCCTGCTCCCACGTGCCAGGCTGAACCCCCACTGACGACTGGGTCCCCTGCACCGCAGGTGACCCCCGTCCTCGCCCCAGTCGCCCAGCGCCCTCAGGGGCGGCTGCACCTGGCATGCCGCCCCTCCCCCCCCCACCGGCCCTGCCCACGCTGGCCTGGTTTTGCACACGTG